ATAGAGAGAAATACTGTTAACTGATGGTACATGGAGGGGATTATAATCATTGTAATGAAACAAGGTGTATGATTTGTTGAATGTAAAACTGATGATATGCCCTGTAAACCTTCACTCAATCCACAATAAAAACCTTAAAAATAACAAAAAACAGAATTTCAGTTCTCCTGGGTTCTAGACTTTCTAACATCATGGAAAAGGAATGAACTCCTAAAACTACTTCCCTGAGATAATCTTTAAATCTTAAATGAAAAATAATTCCCTGAAGTTACCTGAATCATACCTATAGAAACTGTTGAACTAATGTCTGTTTTGCTGTGTATATTCTCAACAACAAAATAATAAATATTTTTCAAGCGCTGTGTTGGAAGAATGGAGCCTTGGTGTGGCATTGTCAGATAAGTACTAAACTGTTAGTCCCAAGGTCGGTAGTTCAAACCCATCAGCTGTTCCTCAGATACCCCATGCAGGGTTGCTAGAAGTCAGAACTGATGCGGCAGCACTTAGCACAGCATATTGGAAGAAGGAAGCTTCCTGGTACAGTTATTATTAAGTGCTCAGCTGCTAACCAAAAGGTTGACATTTTGAACCCATGGGAGAAAAATGTGGCGGTCTGTTTCTGTAAAGATTTACAGCCTTGGAAACCCTGTGGCGCAGTCCTATTCTGTCCCACATATTTGCTGTATAAATCAGAAAGGATTCAATGGCCAACAGGGTTGGTTTGGGGTAAGGTAGCATTATGAGGCATTGACGGTTCAGTGGTAGATTCTAGCCTTCCATGCTTAAGATCTTGTTGATGGATTCCCAACCAATGCTCCTCATAAGCAGCCATCATATGTCAGTGGTGGAATTTCATGTTGCTATAATGCTGAACAAATTCTAGTAGAACTTCCAGACAAAGACAGGAAGTCAATGAAAATAGTGGTCTAAGTGGAGCATGAGATGGTGACAGAGGGGATGATTTAGAGTGACAGCTGGGGGTTCTAGGTCCACTGAGTAAGGCTGTATGCCTGTGGGCAGGAGGCTGGCTTGCAGAACATGCCCTTAGGACCTTTAAATGAATATATATTTTTTGTTTTGTATGTATGCATCAAATATTTTTGCCTTGTTAATATGTGAAATATAAGATGTAAAAGGGAAGGCACAGGGAGGAAGTAGGAAGGGGATTGTAATCATTGAGATGAAACAAAGCATATAATGTAAAGCTGGTGATCTTGTCTGTTAACCTTCACACACAAAAAAAAAAAAGTTTAAAGAAAATCTCCCAATAGTCTAATTTGAAACGGATTATGGGGATGGCTCAGGACCTGAGAGTATTAGGTCATTTATGGGATCATGAATAAAGAATAGGAGGGCCAACTTCATACACAGCTAACAAAGTAATATCACACGGATTACCTTCTAGACACAAGTGGGAAAGGAAAGGTAATTTTGAATAGTGAGATAACTAATCAAAGACCTTAATGCAAAGGTCAAACTTAGTAAACTAAATGTCAGAAACCAGATATGGCTCCTAACATAAAGAATGCAAGAACAAGCCTCCTTGGAGGCATTCCTATTAAAAAAAAAAACAAAACCTTTAATCCAATTAAGTTAAAATCTAACTCCTATTTAGAGGCTATACAAGGGATTATCTTGATCAGATAAGATGACTGATATTTTAAGAAGATCAAGATCAAGAAAAACAGAAAGTCAGGGTCATAAACAAAGAAACTATTCTGATTTAGAAGAGATGCCAGGGACATTCTAGATGTAGTATGTGTTCTTGGATTGGATCCTGATTATGAATATCAACTGTATAAGACATTTCAAGAACTAGGGAATTTGAATAAGGACCTCACTGATTTAAGAAATTATCCCCAACTTTGGAAGCCTATACAGGGGTCCCCCTATGAGTCAGAACCGACTCAATGGCACTTAACAACAACAACAATGTTCTCAGAAATTGCCCCTCTTTCCCGATCTCCCTTACAGCTTTCCCTTACTCTAGTCTCTCTCTTTATGCAATATTCCACACTAATGGATTAATTCATGTTCATTTTCCAATTATTTCCAAATCTATAGCTCCTTCCAAGTCTATCACTTCTGCCTATTCCAACTGCCTACTATTCAAATCCACTTGGGTTATCTTACCCAAAACACAATTATCATCTAATACATTATCTCACTGTTAGCTTTGGCTGGCTGGCCACAGCATCCTGTGAGTCCTGCGGGCCCTTATTATAAAGCATCACTAGAACTCCTCACCTGGTGGTGGTGGCTATGTGCCGTGGAGTTGGTTCCGACTCATAGCGACCCTGTACAGGGTTTCCGAGGCTATAAATCTTTATGGGAGCAGAAAGACTCATCTTTCTCCCGCGGAACAGCTGGTAGCTTTGAACTGCTGACCTTGAGGTTAGCATCCTGATTCGTAACCACTACGCTACCAGAGCTCATCACCTAGATCCTATTAATTACCAATTATTGTGGAGACTGTCTCCAAAACATCTCCAGAGGTATTCCATGTTCTCCACCCTAGGGTGGTACTGTTGGATAAGCACTGCACTGTTAACCACATAGTCAGCGGTTCAAAGCCACCAGATGCTCCTTGGAAACAATATACATGGTAACTATGAGTCAGAACTGATGCTGTTGCCCTTAACAACACTTATCTCGTCCCCCAGTCCAATGCTTATCCTACATTGCTCTAGTGGTAATTAATCACCACCTGGATTATCACAGTAGCTTTCTAGCCATGGCCTTGTATTCTGCCCACGGTTCCCAGGGTACCAGGGTACTCTTTTTTAGT